GGCCTCTTCAAAAGACCTACATGATTTGTGCTGCAGCCTGCAGGGGTCATGGGGGCATGTTGATGTTATTGGTCCATGCTGCCTCTGAGGGCCACATTGACTTCCATGATCTGTGTTGTTCCTGGAGGCCATGTTGATGTGTGTGACCTGTGCGGCCATCTGAGGCCATGTTGATATCTGTGGTCCATGTTGCTGCTGGCTGCTATGGACGAGGAAGCTTCATTTGTAGTGGCATCTATGACTGCAGGCTCATAATTGAGAATGAGAGACAGTGAAGGCTTCTGTGACGACCTCTTCCCCCACTCCACTCCCACACAAAAAAACAAACAGTCTAGACAGGAAGCTACTTGAAGAGAGTCCTTAAAAACTGTGATAAAGACGCTGAAGTGCAGCTCCTCACAGTCGATGGCTTCTGGCAGGAGGATGGGAAAGGACTGGGGTTTCTTTAAGGGGCTTTAACTGGGAGTTTGACCATGCTCCAGTGAGTATATGGGCAACACAAATAAGACTTGGTGTCTTTTCTCTCTCTCTCCCTTTTTCTTTTTCATTTATTTATTTATTTATTTATTTACTTATTTATTTAGAGTGGGCACAAGGATAGGAAGATGAACATGGAAGGAACGGGAAGTGAGTATGATTGGGATGCATTGTATAAAATCCCCAGATAATCAATAAAATATGTTGGAAAAAAAGAGAAGGAACTACAGTGAGTAGCTGCTTTTCAGAAAGAGCATACCACCCTATAGCTTGACTCTTGAAGGTCCATGTGTAAAATGTCTCATCCTCCATGTGGTGCTATTGGAAAGTGGGGGTAGCTGCAGTAGGTGAGGACTGTCTTTATGGCACTGGGGTCATGCCCTTGAAGGGAGTTTGTAGAATCCTGGCAACTTCTCTCTCTTGTTCTGTGACCTCATGAAATAAGTGGTCTTGTTCCTGCCATGGTATGTCTTCTTAACTACAGGCTAAATCTGACCAATTGATATTAAGCTAGAACCCCTAACTCTGAGATAAAATAGCCCCTTTCTCTCAGTTGATTACCTCAGATGCTTTGTTAGAGTGATAGGAAGCTGACTGCTACAACATTCATCCACAGAAGCTGAGAAGTCATGCATGCTGAAGGTCATTCTTTTCTTATGATGTAAACAACCATAAAAAATCAAGTAGTCAGGGCTAGGGAGATAGCTTGGAAGTTAAAAGTGGACATTGCTCTTCCAGAGTACCTGAATTTGATTCCTAGCACTCATGTTGGGCAGCTCACCACCACCTCTGTAAGTCCAGATCCAAAGGGAAAAACAAAATTAGGGGCTGGAGAGATGGCTCAGCAGTTAAGAGCACTGACTGCTCTTCCAGAGGTCCCAAGTTCAATTCCCAGCACCTACATGGTAGCTCACAACTATCTGTAACGGGATCTGATGCCCTCTTCTGATGTGTCTGAAGATAGCTACAGTGTACTAATGTAAATAAAATAAATAAATCTTTTAAACAAAAGCCAAACAAAAAACCAAAACTAGCCACATGTCCAAAGAACATAGATAACCATCTCTTTGAAGAGACAAATTGGCTTTCCAGAATTTTCTTTGCTGCTCCTAAATGATACCTGGGCATTATCTGAACACTAAAATCTAAAATATATATTTTGTTGGGTAGTCTGTGAAGAATTGGAATTAGCATCTGATGTGTTAATTTCTAAATAGTCTTTCAAAGGAGGTTTTAATAAGAAAGCTTTTACCAACCTCCTGCAATTGTGACCTTTATTCTGGAAAAATCTTCTGTGATCTTCCTGTTGATATTAATTCTGACCTCTTGGAAAATAAATTATATCACATCAGTCCGTGGCTGAGTGTGTGCACTTCTGTTCTCGCTGTGTAGAATAAACGGATATATATTGTAAGCGAGAAATGATTTATCTCTTTGTCCTTCACAAATATTAACCTTTGGTCAATGCATTATTGAATTTTGGAACTGAGACATTAACTTTTAATTTATTAAAACCCCTAAGTCTCCAGCAATAAAGTCCTTTAAGTGGCTTCACCAACAGATTTATTTTAGAGTGATTCCTTTGTGGGGAATGGAAGAAAACGTAATGCATTGTAGGCTGAGGGTTTTCAATAATTCATGAGACCCACACTATTGGCCCTTCAAGAGGCAGCTTTGGCGTCAGAGCCCAAAGGGAAATCTCTGTCACATGTCTGACTTCTGGGAAATGGGGTTTGTACTCACTCCTTAGCAGAGGCTGTTTGAAAACAAGAATTGGGGGTGGGGGAACTCACCTGATTGGCTGAAAGGCAGCTTTGTATGCATCCCTTACCTTTAGAAAAGCCTAGTGTTTACAGATATTTCTTTTTCCTCCCATGAACCAAAATCTTGACTGGTCTTGACACATGAGGAGTGCGTTGCCAAGGATGGGCTGCACGTGAATCCTCAGGGCAGACATAGGCAAGGTCTGTGCCTATGAAAGGCCAGTGTGGTATCTTATGCTGTGACCTGGCATGGTGTTTGTGGACAGAGGAGAGTGGCAGGCTCTCCCTCACCCCATTTCTTAAAAGCCACCAAACTCCAGGGTGGTCTTCCTTCAAAGAGAGAATTGTTTGTGATCATAAGGAGGCATCATCCTGGCTCCTCTCTAGGTCGGCTAAACATTTCCTCAAGAAGTACCATGTGGGAAATAGAGAGAATGAATAGTTTTGTTGTTTGACAGAAAAACTACAGGATTCATCTTTCCTCTCCCTCCTTTATATCTCAATAAAAATGGCTGATTTTTAATTAATTTTTTGAAATATCTTATTTATTTTGTATAGGGATGGGAGACATGTGGCCCTGCCACACCACACAGAAACAAGTCAGAGAACTTGGAGGATGTGGTTCTCTCCTTCCACCATGTGGGTTCCTGGGGGACTAAACTCACGTCTTCAGGCTTGGTGGCAAGTGCCCTTACCTGCTGAGCTATCCCACCAGCCCTGATATTTACTTTAACCTAAAATCATAAATGTAAAAATGTAAATGTAAAATGTAAAATGTAAAAATTACTGGGCCTTCTACTGCTAACAGATCTAGTATTTATACATCCATTGCTGTCCACCTTTTTCATAGGAAATTCTATCATCCCCGCTGCCTTTAGATATTTTTTCACTTCATAGTATGTCAAAAAGATGTTTTCCTTTAAAAATCTTCTTCATTTCAGGGGTTGTGGAACATTCTGTTATCTACATATGTTTTAGTCAGTCTCGGCTAGAACAAAATGCTACAGAGCAGGTGGTTTAAAGATCAGCCCTTTTGGGCTAGAGAGACAGCTCAGGGGTTAAGAACACTGACTGTTCTTCTAGAGGTCCTCAGTTCAATTCCCAGCAACCACATGGTGGCTCACAGCCATCTGTAATAGGATCTGATACCTTCTTCTGGTGTGTTTGAAGACAACTCATATATATAAAATAAATAAATAAATCTTTAAAAATACATTAAAAAAAAAGAAGGACAGACCTTTCTTTCTCATGGTTCTGAGGTAGATCCTGGTTCACAGACAGCCTCCTTCTTTCTGTATCCTCATGTACAGGGTGTGCAATACTCCAATACCATCATGAGACTCTCTTCATGACCTCATCTGATCCCATGACCTATGACTTTCTACCTGACCTCCTAAGATCTTCCCTCCCAAAAGTCATCATGTTGACAAGGATGTCAACACTGGAGTTGTACAGAGCACACAGACATTCAGTCCAGGATATTCTCACAGTTAATGACCAACCTTCATGGTCTTTGATTTTTATTTCCTTTACAACATAGGGAAATGTCTTTCTGGGCCTGTTGGCCATGTTAGTATATATTTCCTGTAAGTAGACTAATGGGTCAAAGGGGATGCACATGTCAGTTTCTGCTACGTCGCACCCAGTGGCTTTGCAGGGAAGCAATAAATACCATCCCCATGTAGTAGATGAGAGTGTCTCGCTCCCCAGACCCTACTCTAACACTGAATCTAAGGCCTTTTTATATTTATTGAATTACTAATTACCTCATCATATTTAGTTCATTTTTTTTATTGGATATTTTATTTACATTTCAGATGCCATTCCCTTTCCCCATTTCCCCTCTCTAGAACTCCCATTCCCCTCTCCTCCTTTTTGCTTTTATACCATTTTAATTACATGCAAGTATTAAAGTCAGTTCTAGGTTGAGGAACTAGCAATACAATAGATGCAAATAGTCAAAGAACAAGCAAGACAATAAACACAAATAGTCAAAGAACAAACAAGACAATAAACAAAATTTCGGGAACACTCCCGAGATCACTGTTCCTAAAGAGCTTATCAGGATGACCAAAATATCTGAGCCAACTTCCCTGTCCTAGCCCAAAGTCATTTTCATGTCTGAAGCCTACTCTTTTTCACTCACTGGCCTATCCCAAGAGTTGCTCAAATTAAAAAAAAATTAAAATTAAAACTAGGTCCTCCCTCAAAATATACATGCAATGTATACATTCAGAGAATAATTATCCATCTTATTTGAGGATAAGAGATTCTGGTTCTTAACATTTCTGGTTTGGGGACTGAAGCCCATTCTGATGTGTCACCATTAGCTGACCTTGATAGGCAATAAAGCTTTGCCTGACAGAACTGGCAGCCAGCTGGGTCTTTGCTCCTTCCTAGTAGCTCTGCTTGGGTCTAGTGCTCTGAGCTCTCCTAGGGATCAATCTTTTCTTACCAGTGTATAGTTCTAAAGAGACCGTCCTGGGTCAGTAGAGAAAAGAAAATTCAGAGGAAGGCAACACTGAAAATAAATCTGTATCTGGCTTTTGGCCCAGAGGAGATTTCACAGTCCATAAACCACAAGTGTTTGTACAGTTGGGGAGCAAAATTTATTATTTAATATTAAGTCCTGGAGAAGTCCAAAGGGGGATTTAGAGCTCCAGAAGGGAAGGTGCAGCATAAAATTTTAATGTGTAGCTTAGGAATGCTTAAAATCTGTTTTTTCCCTGCTACCTAAGACTGCTGATTGCTTTTCAACAGTTCCATTCCTTGGCTCCCATGTACTACCGTGGATCAGCTGCAGCTGTCATAGTCTATGACATCACTAAGCAGGTAAGAATGTCTCCAACTTCAGACACCCTTCTTGGTGACCATTCCTAACCCTAACCCTAACCCTAACCCTAGCCCTAGCCCTAGCCCTAGCCCTAGCCCTAGCCCTAGCCCTAACCCTAACACCAAAGCAGATTGGTGCTTTGTGATTCTTGCTAGCACCCCAGGAGCCTTGGCAGTTTGGCAGGCAAGAACAATGAAAGCAGCCAGTGTGTTTCTCTCACAAAGCCACTTTGATTGATCTTCTCGATTACAGAAGCAATAAACATTCATCTGAAAGCTGACCTTTTAAAAATATCTATTTACTTTATTTCTTTGTATGAATATTTTTGCCTGCATATATATCATACACTACATGTGTGTCTGGTTCCCACAGAGGTCAGAAGAGGGCACTGGATCCTTTGGAACTGGACTTGCAGATACTTATGAGTCACTATGTAGGTGCTGGGAACCAAACCTGGTCTCTCTGAAAGAGCAGTCAGCGGTTTTAACTGCTGGGCCATCTTTCACAGAGGCCAGGCCACTCCAGTTAGCACTTTCCTTGAGAACATTTAAGTTCTGTGTGTTTTTTCATTATAGGTTATTTTCTGTTAGTGGTTCAGTTGCACCATTCAAAGGTTGTATATACAAAGGTAACTGTCTGTGTGCTTGTAGGCAGTTGTCTCCATTTATCTGTGGTTTGACTTTCTGTAGTCCTTGTTATCCAAGGTCAACTGCCACCTAAAACTATTAAATGGGAAAATTCCAGAAACAAGTGGTTCATTTAAAACTATTTATTCTATTATTGTGATTACGCTACTTTGTTACTGTTTTTATCTTACTCTGCCTACTTGTTTGCTTCAACTGTGCCATAGGCACTCATGGGACAGAAGCAGTTTGTTTCTAGGCTTGGGTTCTAAGCCAGTGTCAGGTGTCCACTGAGGACCCTGGAGTGTATCTCCTGCTCGTGAGATTGACTGGAATAGATTTTGAGGTATATTCATTAACAAGTGAGTGCTTCGATTTGGTGGTGTTCCTCCTGCCTCAGTCCCTCTGGAATACTGACCGGTAGCTGGTTCATTGCTGTCGTATAGTCTATGAGTTCTGATCCCTTTCGAAACCAAAATGTCTGTCCACCTGGCTTCTGCCCTAGACAAGGGTTATGTGGAAGGGTTTGTTTAGCAGGACCTAAACAAACATTTTTCTCCTGAAATAAGCCTCAGTATTTGCTTGATCCTGAGATCCTTATTCCCACAGAGTCAAGGCTGTTATTTCTAGTCAGTGGTTCTTACTGAAGAAAGTTACAAATGTGATTTTTAACTCCCTCAAGCTTTAATTTAGAAAGAGGCATCCTGGCTAATGTAAAGTAAGTGTCCCCTACAAACTTTTTTTTCCCATTGAATTACACGAGGTTCATATCTCTACTTCTTTGAAATATACTGATAGGTCTGTTTAGTGACTCATCTTGTTTTTTGGTTAGGATTCATTTCATACCTTGAAAAAATGGGTTAAGGAGCTGAAGGAACACGGCCCAGAAAACATTGTGATGGCAATTGCCGGAAACAAGTGTGACCTCTCTGATATTAGGTAAGGCACATTTCAAGTGTGTTTGTGTCTGTGTTATGTGTGCGCGTGTGTGTTATGTGTATCACTCCAAGTGGCAATGGCTTATGGGACTGTCTCAGTCCTTTTTCTAATCCTTAGATTAGAATATCCAAGCTGAGTCGGGCAGTGGTGGTACACGCCTTTAATCCCAGCACTTGGGAGGCAGAGGCAGGCGGATTTCTGAGTTCGAGTCCAGCCTGGTCTACAGAGTGAGTTTCAGAACAGCCAGGGCTACACAGAGAAACCCTGTCTTGAAAAAAACAAAAAAACAAAAGAATACCCAAGCTGGGTTTTTGTAAAGAAAAGAGGTTCATTGTACTTTGCCTAGAGTTTCAAGAATGGAACTCTGGTGACTATATCATAGTTATAACGTGGTTGAGAAACAAAGAGGGAGCAGAGGCCATCTGCAGAGTTGATTATTAGGTAAAACACATTTCAAATCTGTTTGTGTATGTGTGTCACAGCTCCTACCCCAAATGTTTCTGACTAAGTGCAATTATGCCTTTGCTTATGTTTATGCTTTCTGTGTAACGATTTAATTGTGGCAATCAGCGTGATATCACTTTACCAGAGTGGAATTATAGGAGAATGATATAAACCTTATGGCTCCTACAATGATGAATAGTAAATCGAATGGCCTATACATAACACAGCTGCATGATTACCCTACATATTATCAGACTAGATTGTTTCACCACCTTATTCTTCTTATTAACATTACTGCTAATATAATTTTAGTAACACTTTCATATACAAATGGCCATGAGTCTTGATATTGTTCACAACATCTGCTTGTTTTAGATTTTAACTTGAGGATGTTGTCCAGTCTATTTAATAATGTTACTATTTTTACATACTATCTGAATATGATGCGTTGTATCACTCCAAGTGACAATGGGACTAATATGACCTCTTGTCTCAGTCCTTTTTCTAATCCTTAGATTAGAATACCCAAGCTGGGTTTTTGTAAAGAAAAGAAGTTCATTGTGCTTTGCCTAGAGTTTCAAGAATGGAACTCTGGTAACTATATCAAAGTACAACATGGTTGAGAAACAGAGATGGGGCAGAGGCCATCTGCAGAATTGATCACTTGGTGAGGCACGGGCCCGGTGATATTCAGTGGCTTAGGTCGGTTTGTTCTTTTTACAATGAGCCATTCTTGCAGGAACTAAGCAGCGGGTCACAAGAACCACACTGATCCCTTCTGAGGGCTCTCAACTCCGTGACCTAGTCTCCATCCATTCTTCCACCATGCTTCTTGCTCATGAGCCTTGAGGGCCACACCCGCACAATGTAACCAAACTGTGTGGCATGTGGAGAGTGGATTAGAGGCTTGATGACCTTACCTGGCCCATTTTTGTAATGAATGCCACTTCAAAGATTATGTATTAGTCATCCTTTCCTATGACAGATCTATTCCAGTCTCCAGTGGATATCCGAAACCTTAGATTACTTCATACCCCATGTATGTTATGATTTTTTTCTATATGTACAAATCTATGCTGAAATTTATTTTATACAACAGGCATAGTAATAAAGATTAAGAACACTAATAAAATAGAATGGGATTGTAATAGTATAATATAGTAAGAGCTGTTTAAAATGTAATGAATTATTTATATTTGGAATTTTCCATTTGATATATTTGGATTTAATTGATTATGGGTGACTGAAGCCCTGGGAAGGCAAAACATTGATGGGGGAGGATTCTGTTGCAAATTTGTTTTGCCTCCATTCCTTGAGTTCTCAGGAATTCCTGTCATCATTGTTGTCATTCATAAAGAGCTACACCATGCTTCTGGTTTTGATATCTAAATACGATTAAACCAAAATTAAGCATTGAAAATGGATCTTGCCAAAGTCCTTAAATTACTCTGTTTCTTTGTGTTTGCAAACACATTATATCACATCTCATCAGGTTAGTTTGTAACCTCTGTGAACTCCACTTAATCACCTATTTTTCTAGCAGTTGGACTAGTCTTTAAGCTCTCCAGACTCAGATCAGATATACTCCTTTATTGTAATCCTGAAGCAGCCTTTTGGCCAGTGTTTCTGACACTGGGTGGTGGGTGGGCTGAATTGGCCTCACTGAAAGAGGTGGGTTCATCTAACACCTTATTGTGGTAAACAGGTACTTTGACAGAGAAAAGTCACCCTTTCTCATGTGTATGTGTACCTGTGCATGTACGTGTGCTCAGATTTATGATATGTTCCAATTGGTCTGTGGAGAAATGCTGGCCTGGCATCTCTGCTTTAGTTCTCCACACCTGACAAGGAGCTTGTGGCCCACAGAAAGAATGGGGCCACTACAAGATGAGGGAGGGTGGAGGCTCTTGATGAGAAACAGTCTCAGATCAGCACAGTCTCCAGATAAAACAGGATTGCTGCCTCTCATTCCCAGGATAGACTCACTGGTGTCCTCTGCAGACATCAGGATGTCTGCCCCATGTCATACAGATTCAGCTAAGATGAACTGGCAAACAACCCAGGCATCTTACTCAACCATAAATGTACTCAAGGTCAGCTTTCCCCAAAGGATGTGGTAACATCTGAGCCCACTGTCCCAGGTGGCACACCAGTCTCTCTGCTCAACTTCTTTTGCTTCACTCGTTTGGCCCAAGTGAGGTCTGAATCCAACACTTCAGGATCCTACAGGTGTTCAGAGCTTGGGTATATAGCCTTTGTTGCGCTTACAGTCATTCGAGAGGGCCCTTGTTTGAATTATGCAACAGAGGAAATGACTTTTTATTGTAGTTCATGTTCAAACCTCTGAATAGGTCAGTGAGAAAGACTAGTTTATTTTTATTTTCATAAAAATTGATTAATCAGTTTATTATCTATCTATCCATCCACCCACCCACCCACTTATCCATCCATCCTCCATCTATCTATCTACTATCTATCTATCTACTATCTATCTATCTATCTATCTATCTATCTATCTATCTATCTATCTATCTATGTGTACCTGCCCTGGCATGCTTGTCAGAGACAACTTATGGGGACTCCTTCTCCTACCATGTGTGTCCTGTGGATTGAACTCAGGTTATCAGGCTTGGTGGCAAGCACCTTTACTCACTGAGCCAGCTCACCAGCTCTGCTTGAGTTCTTTGAGGTTTGTTTTATGACTTAGCACATGCTGTATTCTAGAGAATATTCTGTAGAAGCCTCAAGCCAGTAAGGTGCTGGGGTTTTTTTGTTGTTTTGTCTTGCTTTTGTTTTTGTTGTTGTTGGTTTTTGTTGTATTTATGCTTGTATCTGTGTGTGTGTGCATGTATATGTGTATGTGTGTGCAAGTGCATTTGGAGGTCAGAAGTTGGTGTCGGGTGCCTTCTTTGACCTGATGTGTTGAAGCAGGGTGTTTGATGAAGCCAGAGCTCCCCAGTTCAGCTAGCACAGCTAGCAGGCTTACCCACAGGATGCAGCACAACCTCCCAGTTGCTGGGATTTCAGATGGGCTGCCATGTCATCCAGATTTAATTCTTTACACTTACATGACTAGTGCTTTTGCACTGAGCCATCTCACCAGTCCTCCCATTGAGTTTTTAACATGCATTAGTTTTTCTTTCCTTTTTTTTTTCCCCAGTGGAACTAGAGATCGGGTTTAGAGTGTGTGTATGCTAGGCTGGTGCCATACGACTGAATGGCTAAACAAACTATGAGCCTCTCTAAGTTGACCTTGCTAGCTTTGAACTCACTCTGTAGCTCAAGGCAGGCCTTGTGGTTGTTATCCTCCTCTCTGGCCATCTTGAGTAGCTGAGATAATAAACAGGTACCACCAGGTCTGGCTTAAAGACATATTCTTATATTTGCTTTCTCTCTTTGAAGAAAGAGATAGATAGCTAGATATGACAGAAAGACAGAGGAGAGATTGAAACAGAGGAAGACAGAGAGCACTAGTCTTCTGAAAATAACACTGCTTTAGCTAAATTTTAAGTTCCTTTTAATTTTTAGAATCTCATTCTTTTGTGAGTAGTTGATACTGGTGTTCCATTTATGATAATGATATAAAATTTTATAGAAAAATTTTAGCGCTGGCTTATGTTTATGACATCTACAGGGGAAAATTTTAAGGAACATACTGGAAAGTTCTTACATGTAATAAATAGGTTCAGCAATGTTATAGGATACAAGACACAGAAAACTCAATTACATTTCTGTTTATTAATAATGAGAATGCAGAAACTCGCTGGGCAGTGGTGTCGCATGCCTTTAATCCCAGAACTTGGGAGGCAGAGGCAGACAGATTTCTGAGTTCGAGACTATCCTGGTCTACAAAGTGTGTTCCAGGACAGCCAGGGCTACACAGAGAAACCCTGTCTCGAAAAAC